ATGATCATTTGATTCACTTTTTTCGAAACTGGGGTATTTCTTTTTCAATTCATCGTTGAACACATATCGGCTACGTGACATTTAAAGGAAAAAAAATTGACAAGCAGAGCAAATCTTCAATTCAAATGATCGATTCGGTTTCGGAGATTGATCTGACTAATTACTTCTTACTGACCTATTTATAAGTGCCAATAAATGCTTACGCCGCATATTCTCGCGACAGAAACATCCAGAGACGATATTTTGATTCAAAGTATTTATATTGAGAGGTGTCACAATAATTCGGCCAAAACAGCTGGTGCAGCGTCAGCTCACCAGTTTATGATAGAACAAAGCGAAACGAAATGTATTTTTATTTAGACTGCTGAAATTATAAAACTTCCAATATGACAATATGCTGATTTTCGCTTCGTTCTATCAACAAACCTGTGAGTTGTTTAAATTCAACTGAAAAACTGACGCTGACGCTGCATCAGCTGTTTTGGCCGAATTATCGCGACTCCTCTCAATATAAATACTTTGAATCAAAATAACGTCTCTGGATATTTCTGTCGCGAGAATATGCGGCGTATATAATAAATAATTTACTTTTGCATGTACGGATTTTTGTACGGATTTTCGTTGCCAAAGTACGGATTTGTACGGATTTTTTTAAATCAATTTTGACTGTTTGTACGGATTTTCCTGTTTGCAGATCTGGTCACCTTAGCTTCCTATTCGTGAATGGTGTTTTTTAATAAATAATATTTATGTTCGGCCATTCTCGCACATTTTCCATTCATTACGCAACCACTTTTAATCCGGCATATGTATTCCCTTCGATTATGATGGTTTAATATAAATAAGTGTGAATCATTGAAGAGAAAGTCGCCCTAGCAAAACAAATCCCATTTCTTCATATAAAATCTTGTGGTCATGATTGTGAAATGCAGAAGATGTTGATGTTATAGTTGTTCTTTTACGTCAGGGTGACGCTGGTTACACCATTTATTTCGATTTCAAGTTCAAATTGACAATATTCCCAAACTCAATGGATTCATTTGCAACTTCTGAATTCGCTTCTAATGTTTTTATTGCATTCCATCCGAAGTGCATTAATGCACCAAAAAACCGACTGATTCGACACAATTGTTCGGTATTGTCGTATTAAAAGCTGACAACTTCTGCTGTTGTATTTGTGTGCTTGTTGTATACATAAGATTTAAGTTGACTGGTATGGACTCGATGGGTATGATGAACTTTAAGGGAATTGGAATCGAAGCACCTTCGACCATAACGGAATTACGAAGCAAAAACTTTAGTTTATGAAAGTTTAAAAGAATGTGTTCAAGCAAAGAAGAAGCGAGAAAGGGAGAGGGAGATTGTCGGAGACTCTTCGAAAATTCAATCATAAATTCTCGCACAACTAAATAAATAAACTTGAGAGAAAGAGAGAAAATCGCATAAAATAAGCTATGGCACAGAGCAATTTTTAGTATTTAGTATTTTGTGTCCTGGGAATTTTGGCTTTTAAAATTTATTAGTTTATAAACCAGTCAATAAATTTCAGATGCCTGCTAAAATGCTCAATGAAGAACTATAAAAAAAATTCCTTGCGTCAATTACAAAGAACTCGACCGAAAATGGGTAAAGTTTTGCCATTTAGCATAAACGCGGTAACGCAGCCGCAGGAGTACTCACACAGTTTCTACCCTCTTTGTCATTCTCGCTAGCACACACTTACACATGCCATATCTCATTTCCTCTCTATTCCAAACCAGATAAAATGCTATCGTTCAATGTACGCATACCGTACACAGTCGGTTTTATGAAGTAAAGCAGCACTCTGCACTTGTATCCGCAAATAGCGAAACAAAGGCGGATCTCTCTCTCTCTCACTCTCGAATTTCGGCAAAAATCCGAGACGAAGTTTACATTGACAATTATTTCGACCGAAATCAAAGCCAAACTGTTGAAAGCCAAAACACAAAAGAAAATCACACGCAGATCCCATTGCAGCGACATGCGTGCGAAAGCGAACGAACAAATGAGCGGGAGCGTCTCGTCCAACGTTTCCCAGCAAAATATGTTGGCTCGAAAATTCATGAGATGCCTGGATCTTTTATTAAATAGCGCAAACCCTTCAAAACAAACATACTTAACCGTTTGAAAATTATTTTCACTGCTACAATGTATAGCGAGGACTAGGCAATACGTGATGACGATGGCAAATGTCTTATGCACGCTCCATTCAATCACCCGAACAATCTTCCTCAGGAAGGAGCCCAAACCATTTTTTTTTATCTCGTTCTTTTGGTAAAATGAAACGAAGAAGCCAAAACGAAATAAAACACTGCATAAACTAACACAAAAGTTGTTGCGAAATTCCATTTTACAAAGAATGCCACCAAGTTGCTGGCATACACAGTACACTCTCTCTCTCTCACACACACACACATACTGAGCCACTGTATGTGACTGACAAGAGTCGAAATCATAAAGGCGATACGAAGAAGATGAAGGCGATGACGACAGCATGGCAGTGGAACACCCAAAGTACATAGTAACAAAGAATGAAACGGTTGAAATTACAAGAATTTCTACAGAAATTTTTTATGCCGCTCTCTGCCGGTTTCGGTTTGGTGCGGTGTGTATAGAAGAAAAAAAATAACGACAAATTTTGTGGCAATACCATTAACATTTTCCAGAACATTTTCTCTTCTCTTGATCCGGGCCTGGTCACATTATTTTCAAACAAAAGGAATGGGCCTAAAAAAACTGAATTCGAAATAGTAACTATGCACCTCGTCCACATCGCTCAATCACACTTGATCGCATTAAATCTTTTTAATTTGAAATTATTTTAAAGCTTCGCTACCTCAATCACTTGTCGCATTAAATGGTCATAAATGCGTGGAAGACGTTGGACAAAAGACGACAAGATATTCATTAAATGTTGATGTTTGCATAATTGAGCACGTCGTTTTTTGGCATGGATTTTGAACAATGAAAATGGCACCCAAGAAAAATGCGATGCGAAAATGTTTCAGCCGAATCTCAACAGCCGAGCTTGTGATGAATACATATCAAAAATTTGCTGGATTCAGACACATCCGACGTCAGCATCGTCGGTAAACACATGGAAAATTGAAAAGCATCATTAAACAATATCAATCTCATTTGAAAATCCCATGACAATGGAAATGCCGTCGAGTCGATTGAAAGCAAGCAAATCAATACGCCAAATGGAGCCGAAGAGATTCCATTAACTGAATGGGGAACAAAGGAATATTTGACAAAACCGCTCTTGTTTGTAGTTTTAGTTGTTTTCAGTTGCTCGTGAATCAATTACACTCTTTCAACGTTCATTGATCTTTCTTCGGTTTTTATCCCGAATTGCGTCTCAAGGCAACGACAGCGCCGAACGAAAAAAGAAACATAAACAGAAGGTTTTCATAAGTTTGCAACACAAACATACGAAAAATGTGATCGTTACCAAATGTGATGAATATATTTATCGAAGAAGGAATCGTCGCGGCTACAATAACGCTCAACTGCTCTGCATGGACTTTGTGTTTGCCTAACAAATAAAGTTTATTCACAATTCGAACCAATTTAAATATTGATCCCATTTGTAAGACAATCCGAAGACGAGCAAAGTTGATCCGAACGAATGGGCGAATGGAAGAAGGGAGAAACAACGCCACCAAATTCCATAAATGCATGATGTTTTCGGTTTCGCAATGTTCCATTCGTTAGCCAGTGTATGGCATTTAATCGTTCAGCAGCATCAACAGCATTGTAGCGAATGAATAATTGCCCATCGGAACTTATGCTGTAACAATTTTGTATTTTCATGTGCAGTGAGTGGCTGCGCTGGTGGATGTACGAGCGAGTGTGCGTGCGTGTGTATAAGAGGGCATATTTAATTTATTGTCTGGGAAAGTGTTCATATTTGGCACAGTGTTTGATACGGTTTGTTGTGCGCTTGTGTTATTGTTGATGTTGCTGCTGCTGCTGCTGCTGCTACTTCTGCTGCTATGCGACCGTTTCTCTCTCTCTCTCTCTCTCTCTCTCTCTTTCGCACACGCTCGCTCACTCCGGCATTTATCCGTAGCGATGGTGTTCTCTCTTGCTCGGTGTCTCTTACGCTGGTTCGCTCGTTCGCTTCGCTTGACATCTGTGAACCGAAATTGAGTGTGTGCGTGAGCTCGTCTACGGTCTGCCGACGAGTATAAAAAGACTGCATACAGAAATTTCAATCTCTTTCACTCTTCGGTGTGTCGCTATCAACTATTATCCAGTTTGTAGAGTAAAGCTCAACATCCAAAGGCCTCAACCATAGAGCAATGGGTTTCGTCGGGAAAAGTGAATGTAACACACTTGCACGCAACAAAAACCAACGAGTGGCAAACCATTTCGTTGTCTGCAGTGTTTCGTTGGCGGCTTTTGGCATGTTGAATGAGAGAAGTAGCAACACGGGTTCCGTTCTCATCGCCGTCGTTTCAACAGAGCACCGAGAGAAAGGAAAAAGCGCCGCATTCAACAACATCAACATTTTCGTGCCATTTCATTGAAACAAGTAGCCCCATTCACATCACATAAGACCCTCTTCGTGTGTGACACAGATATATTCCATCCGATTGCGATGCGAAAGCAATTCTATATTGCGTACGGCGTTTCGCATCCCTCATTGCACAATACACAAAGCTTCTTCGCTCGTTTGTTCACAAACAGCACACAGTCTCTTCAGCTGCCGTCCGATTTCACCAAAACGCAGCATCCACACGCGCCATCACCATAATCGAAATGTGAAAAAAGCAGCGTCGCCCGTTTGCGTCCTTTTTTTCTCTCTCTTGTTTGTGCTTTTATCTCCCGCAATGTTCATTTGACATGCGCACACTCGAAATCGTTAGCAGATCCAGTCACAGCCTACAACAGTTGCCACTGAGCTCGCGAATTGAACAAATCGCTCGACTGATTCTTCCCGTTTAACGTGAATTTCATTTGAAAAGAGAGTCAAGTAATTTAACTATTTAGAGAAAGAAAAGAAAAAACAGATAAATAAAACATCCGAACATCACGAGATGACAACCGATTTTTTTTTTTTTTTGAAAATTCATCGTTGAATTCGAAGACAAAGTGAAATCAATCGTTAGGGAATTGAGATATAAACAGCGAATTTGAAGAACTCATACGTACGTTCACTTGAATATTTCATACAGATGACGAAAATCCATAATAGCAAAACATTTCATTTTTATTTGTAAGAAGAGAAAAACGTTCATTTTGCCATTTCACAACAAGAGGAAAAATCGAGCATAATCACAGTAACAAGCTCATGTTTAAAAAGCTGTGGCTTTGCATTTCGTGCTTCGATTAAGACAAAAACAAAATAAACGAAGCTCATAGCAATTTAACGTAAAAAATACTACTCATCATATTTTGATATCAAAGAGAGCGAATAGTGTTCAAAGCGCGTGTTGCACATTCCGACAATTTTTTTTGTTTCGCCCAAAGAGTGTGCAAAAAGGTGGTAAAATCATACAATCTGCTTCGGTTTTTGTGAATGAAAATATAAACGGGGAGAAAAAGACAGGAAAAATAAAATTCCAAGGAATTTTACAAACCCAAAGTGTGCTTTGGTAGCAATCAATCTGCCCAAACCGTATGAATGAACGCCCCGTAAAAAAGGTCAATTTATTCGATAAAAAATTCGCTAGCACAAATTTCGAGAGCCAATAAAACCACAGTGAATGGACTGGACGCCGTTGTAGGGCGCAAAGAAAATAAGAATAAATGTAATAATGATCTGTCGTTAAGGGAGGAACAGCATCATCCGGAGATGTCAAAAGTGATTGTGGCATAACAGCCGAAATCCACATAGGAAACACCGAACAGAGAAACGTAAAACGAAGAACATTGTTTTTGAAAGAGCAAACAGGAAAAAAATCATACAAAAAGTGAAGAGCTCCCCGGTAGCACAACCGCATACATACACACACATTGACTCGACAACGAAACGTCGGACGGAATAAGACGAAATTTTGTGTTTTCTTTCTCTCGTTCGTACATTCAACGAATCAACGAAAAATAGCATCAAAAGTGCGGATACAAGCCACATAACGGTACGTAGGACAAATACACACATCCGTGTGCTGAGTGTATTCTGAATTCTCATTCGATTGTTACCTCGTTTTCTTTCACAACACATGATTGAAATAGACTGGTTTTCTTATTTCTTATTTCGTTATTGTTGTTGTTTTTCTTTCTTCTTCTTCTTCTCTTTCACCCACCGTGAGCAGCACAACACACTCTGTGTGGTACTTAAACCAGATAACATTCTACTGGTGATTCGGTCGTTCGTTCGATGTTGCCGTTGCCGTTGCTACTGCTGCTGCCGCTGTTCGCTAACAACACCTCGTCAACATTTTGAAGCTGATGAAAAAGCCGCATTTACGACTTACCAAACATTTTATTAGGCTCTATCACCATTCGGTACCGTTAATAGTAGCTGCTGCACCAGGAGCAATAATACGGGCTAACATCAGCCGTTTTTGAAAAAAAAAACCACACTTTTTTCCTGCTTTGTTCTTGTCGTTATTATTGTTGTTTTTGTTGTTAATGTCGTTGCAAAGAGCGGAAAATAACGAGCGTTTCCAGTATCTATCTCTCTCTTCGTGAACTGTTGAACTTTGGAAATAAAGCGATTTGTTAAGAGAAAAAGAGAGGACAAAAAAACTGTGTGAATTCAAGTGGTTCTTTCAGGCGCAAGTGTGTTCTCAAACTAAAAAAAAAAAACGAACTTTACAGTAAACTCAAACGCTAACTTAAAAGAAATCTACAATGTTATTGTGTTGCAAGTAAAGATAGTGTGAACTTTTCCTCAAACGCATCAGCATCGAGTTCTTATTATTGAACGGTACTGAACGGTATAAAATTTGACGTCTTCACCGCACACATCTCAGCTAATGCAGCTAATGATTATATTTTTCACGTAAGTACACACATTTATCCATTCGATCAATATATTCGTTATTTATTTCGGTGTATTTGGGTGTCTGTCTGTCTGTCTGTGTATACGTGATATGTGTTGAAAACAAAAACTTTTGTACACCAAACATAAATGTTGTACTTCATCCACAAAATATTGGATTTTCCGAGAATGTTAAATGATTTATTGGAAAACGTGAAAAAAAAAAACAAAAAAAAAACGAATAAACCAAACCAATACAATGGAACCTGCGTTTTGGATTGCGTTGGAATCGATTATAACAGTTTTCGGGTGCCAAAAAACTAGTTTTGCTTTCAACACTAATTGATTTGAACGATTCATCGCCGCATGGCGCGCCAGATAAAAGTTGCCGACGTTATGACAAAAATATTTTGTAACACCAAAATCGATATCCATACGTATTTGGAATGAGAAAGCAAGACAAAAAAATGTGAAGAAAAGCCACATTCATTGAAATAATGCTCGCAATGAATTTGATTTTTGTCTGTAGTTGCTGCTGGTGTTGCGACTATTTTACTCATTCTCTCTGCCTCGTGCGTATGTTCGCTGTGGTACTGCTGCTTCGTTCCTTTTCCATGTGTCTTTCACACAGATTCACTCTGCTGTTTGCCCCCGAAGTTGTTATTGTTCGTTGTGCAGAATTCCAGTAAGTCAATATTCTTGGCTCCAAATATTGCAGTATTTCTCTGTTTCGATTTCGACGTTTTTCCCCATTCAATTTGAAGCATTTTATTTTATTTGCTTGTGCCAGGATGGGAACTCTGTAGTTTTTTTTCTTTTGCACTTTGTTGCTTGGTTTTTATCTGTTTCACCCTCGGATCGTACTGTTTTATGTAGTGGCAGCCGAGTTGTATAAATATGATGCTATTTTAAGTTCAGAGTGGCAAGCAAACAGTAGTAGACTTTGACATACATTTTTACCCATAATACACCATATCTTTGGCAATGGCTGAAACGGAACGACACACCAAATGCGTACTTGAGTGTGTATATCAACGCAGAACAGACGAACGCGTTGTTACTTAATACGTTGAAGGAAGAAAAAGTGAGGAAAAAACACAACGACAATATATGCGGCCAAACACTCTTGTGACAGAATAAAAGTCGTATATTTAGTATATAGTGAGTAAAATAGTCGAAATGGTTTTGCAGAAATGCGTGCGAGTCGAAAGTGTAAGATAGGAATATGGAAGAAGAAGAAAAAATATATGGAAAAATACGAGAAAACGTTGAGCACAAGATGACCGTTTTATGCTTACGACATATCATCAACGGCAGCAGCACACAAGGCGATGCTCCTTAATCATACACAGTATGGTTCAGTTTTCTTTGGCTCATTCGCTTCTTTCTGTGTTGCCATATAAAATTTTGCTCGAAATGTTGTCGTCGTCGTCGTCGTCGTCGTCATCGTCATCGTCTGCATTTATTTTTTCCCTTCACTCTGTCTCTCTCCAAGCAGTCGGTCGTTGCTTGAACCTTTTCCATTTTCATGTACTACTTTGATGTGACTTGTGACTCGAAATTTTTTTCTCTCACTCACACACACATACTCTTCATTTCATTTGTGTGCTTTTTCGTTAGCGTTTCGTTTGCATGGCATTCATCCCTTTTTCTTCCGTCATTTCGTTTGGAGCATTTATTTTTGTTTGCACCATACTTTTGATGCTATATGGTGCTGTTGTGTAATACGGAATGCCTTTATGTATGTCCCACCATAAATGTATATTAAAACAGTCATAAATTATTGTTGTTTGTTTGTTTCTAACAGTTTCAATAGCTGTTTCGTTGTTTTGGCTTGGTGCAAGCTTTCTGGCGGAAGATTTTAGTCAGTGGGACTTTTGTCGAAGTTTTGTTCGAATTCGTTTATGCTCATCGCTCTTCGCCGACTGTGTGTTTGTTTGTGTATGTGTGTAAATATGTTGAACCACATTCAGACAAATCCACATTTATCCATTTTCGGGCTTTATTCGTATTGGTGTCGAGACTAAGCTCTGCCTCCCAATGTGCTGTTTGTCGCCGAACGCATTCATCCTGATTTCTCAAAATTTCTTACGTTTTCACATGGCAATTGCAAAATGCGAAAAACATAATCGTGATACCAGCGTAGGCCAACCGAAGTGGAACCCGAAACGATAAATGAGAAATACACAAACACACACAATACAGACGAACAAAGCATCGTCTAGGAACAATAAAAGAGGGAATTTAGAAAAACCAAATACAAATATACCAAAAGCCGAATGCAAATAAATAATGCCAAAAACCGCAATTGCAGAGAAAATCGAGAAAAATTATCGCTGCATTTGTTTTCATTTCTAATCTCTTTATAAATACTAGAATCCGTTGTACTGTCTGTGTGTATGTGTGTTTGTGCCCGAAACACGCGTATAGCCACTATAAAAACAAATTAAGATTCACTGGAATCGCCATTCAAGTTCGTTTTCCTCCATTTGGAGGCAGGGGAGCTGTGAGATGGAAGTGCTGATGCCCATTTTTAGCTAGTTCCGCTTTAAGCTGCAAACATTATGCGGGAATTTGTGTCCGAAATGAAAAATATCCAGTAAAAAGGACACGGTCTACTAGCTTCCATGCCACCAAAACGAATTGTAGCCAAAGAGAGAATGGAAAAAAAACTAGGGGAAACCAAAAGCGACAACAACAAAACAAATCACAAAAAGTATATCGAGAAAATAACAGCGAGAAAAATACACAGATGCCAAAATAGGAGCCGTTTTGCTAGACGACGCATTGGCCAACGAAAATTCCAAGCGATTAAATAGAATGGACAAACAACAGGACTTAAAGAAGAGCTCACTGCATGCCAACAAACACAATAAATGACCAGTCTCATTAACATTTTGCTATTGCTTATTACGATAAAACCGTTATTTCTACAGCTCTATTGTTATCGTGAATTAGAGCTGCGAAGCTTGTTTCGCGCCACAAATTTTCTCCCCTTCTCTCACTCACTCGCTGTACGTATGTGTAGTCGTTATGCGCTAACGCATCTTGCTTTCTCTCGCTCTCTCCGTGGTGCTCCTCAATCAACTTTAAGTTTTGCTTTTTATTCCGATTTTCCACAGTAAAATGCCATATATTTATAAACACATTTCACATGATTTGTTGTTGCTCGAGTGCGATGTTTCATCGTCGTCCAAACCAAACCATTCTCTTTTTTCTCTCTCTCTCTCCGTTGGCTCCAGAGCCGTTGTTTCGCTGCGGTAATGATTCGTTAACCAAACATTGGGATTACATTGCAAACTATCAAAAAAATTAAATTTACCGAGAGGAAAAAAAAATTGTAATCCGAAAATGACTTTTTCACTGCAACATTTTTTTTTTCTGTTGGGTGTATTCGTTTTGCGTCTGCATCGACGCAAAGTATTTTGATTCGTTGCCAAAATTCACGAAAACGCTATAAAGTTTGGATAAGCACCCGACGAAAGAAAGGGAAAAAAACCGAACTGGTAATGAAATGATTGTGTACAGCAATGTGAATGAAAAGTTGATGCTTCATGATCGAGTAGCGAACGATAAGAATGGCGACAAACAGCGAACACAGCGTGCGCGCTAGAAATGAAGAATGAGGGAGAGAGAGAAAGAGGAAACCAATGTGAATACAAGTTGGTTGTCGGTTTGACTTTATCTCCCCGTTCGCCTATCAAACATATATTTTAATTAGATTGAGTTTAAATTTAAATGGAAAACTTATCCATTTTCAGTTTTAAACACTCCTATTCGTTGTGATGCAATTTTTCCAGTTAACACTGTTTTTGTTCTTTTTGCACACCGCACGGACGAGAAAAGAAAAAAAAACGAACAACAACGCCCGACAAAAAAAGTTACACATAAACACACGGTGTCTCTGCGCTTGATAGACTGAATTGAAATTGTGCATGAATTGTGCATCCAATGAATTATGCTCTTCGACACAGCAATAACGGCAGCCAACTTACGTGCAGCGTATAAAAACTGTGCGCAACGCGCCATGCATGACTGTGTGTTTTGGACTTTTTGTTGTTTGTTTGCGATTAAAATTATGCGAGAATAACGACAAAATAGCTGCTGTTGCTGTGTCGTTACTCTTGGGAAACGACGACGACGATGGCGGCGGTGGCAGAAGTGAGTCGAAGACAAAGTTTATTTCGCCGCCATAGTTCATACTTTTTGCTGTTGTGCGAGAGACAGCAACGAGTAAACTAGATAAAACGACGGATTAACTCTTATAAATCGATGCAGCAGCAGCAGCAGCAGTAACGACGCTCTTTGCATCTCTCTGGCGATTCACGCTTTTCTCCCCGAAACTTCGTTCTCGAATTGCGACGAAAGGTAGAGAAAAAAAGAGGTGATGAAAACAACGTTAAAATAAATTGACTCTGCTGAGTAAATAAAACCGTAAATATTCATTCGCCTAGAACACACATACACACAAACACACACACAATTTGCCTCTTGATCCCGGGTGCAACGCACTGGAAGTTATGTGCCGCAGTCGGTTACAACTTTGCTGTATTGTTTCATTTACGCGGTTTATACGTAAAAGTTGATGTGATTTGGATAAAATCTTCTCACACTAAAACAAGATATGAGCCATTCTAATAAGAAATCAAAGTGAAGCAGCCCGGACATTCCTTCTTTGGAATGGTATTTATCAAGACGCCACATTGATGTTTCTTTTCGTTGACTCTATTCCGTCTTGATGCCATTTCAACCAATCGGTCATAAATCAATGCCGCCGTCCAATTTCCGACGAAGTCGAAATGTATCACATAAATTTGAATGAATGAATCCCACTGTCACCAAGACGATAGAGACAATGGATAACAAATTGGGAACGAATATCGTCACATTTTCCATATGCTTTACATTCGATTTTGGCCCTGGAGATCGTTGCGATTGATTGACAGCCTCCGTTATTCCGTTTCTCCCATTTTCCATGCGACCAAAATGACGACAAAAACATACAAAAAAAAAACATGAAA